GTTGCTTCTATAATCATTAAGGAAAACTCAGTAAATACTTAAGAGGGAAAAATATTTGCCATGAGGTTAACAGATGGTTCAAGCAAGGTGTTGAAAAATGGCCACACGCCAGGTGCCGTGACTCATGCTTATAATTCCAGCATGGTGGGAGGATCGCTTGAGCCCAGGAGTTCGAGACCAGCCTGGGCAACAAAGTGATATCCCATTTCTACAAAAAAAAAATAAAAATAAATAAAAAATTTTAAGAGAAAAATGGCCACATTGTTGGAATAAGGGTCCTTCTCCCAAGAGAATGAGGGAAGAAGTCAGCAATGTGAAGTCGGAGCATACCGGGCTTCTTGCTCTCGGTGCTCCGGATGTCCTGGCCAGGGGATTCTCTGTCATGGGGGGCAGGGTAAGGGGGAATTAGTCTTGAGTGTCGTAGGATGTTTAGTGACATCGCTGGCCTCTACCCTGGTTGCCTGCCAGGGGCAAACCTCACTACAGTTGTGACATCCAAACATGTCTCCAAACACTGCCAATTGTCCTCAGGGTTGGGGGCACGGTGGGGGCAATTTCCCCCCCATGGAAAACCACCGCTCTAGGTATTAGGTTCCTAAGAAAGAAATCAGAGTCACAAAGATGAGTTTTACCTTCCAGGTATGAAGGTTAATGAGCCGTTTTTTTAAATCCCTTACAATTTTTTTCCCTTAAGTGGCTTGAGGTAATCTGTGAAAATGGTTCACTATTCACTCGATCCAGAAAACCCCACAGAACCATGAAAATTAAGAGGTTCAAATCTTCGTGTTCACTTTAAGAACACTTGTGAGACTGGACATGGTGGCTCATGCCTGTAATCCCAACATTTTGGGAGGCTGAGGCAGGAGGATCCCTTGAGGCCAGGAGTTGGAGACCAGCCTGGCCAACATGGTGAAACCCTGTACCTAGTAAAAACACAAAAATTAATCGGGCATGGTGGCACATGCCTGTAATTCCAGCTACTTGAGAAGCTGAGGCACAAAAATTTCTTGAACCTGGGAGGCGGAGGTTGCAGTGAGCCAAGACCATGCCACTGCACTCCAGCCTGGACAACAGAGTGAGACTCTGTCTCAAAAAAAAAAAAAAAAAAAACTCCCATTGCCCAGGCTATCAAGGCCATGCATATACAAAAAGCTATGAAATATCAAAAAGATGTCACTTTACAGAAACAACATGTACCATTTTGACATTACAATGGTGGAGGTGACAGGTGTGCCCAGGCCAAGGAGTGGGGCTGGCCACAAGGTCAGTGGCCCAAAAAGAGTGCTGAATTTTTGCTGCACATGCTTAAAAATACAGTCACGCTGAACTTAAGGGTTGAGATGCAGATTCTCTGGTCTTTCCGCATATCCAACTGAACAAAGCACCTAAGATGCGCTGCCAGACCTACAGAGCTCAGCGTCGGTTGGATTCACCCATACGTGAGCTCACCCTGCCACATCCAGATGCTGCTGCCTGAAAGGGAACAAATTGTTCCTAAACCGGAAGGCGAGGCTGCACAGAAGAAAAATATATCGCAGAAGAAATGGAAGAAATAAAAGCTTATGGCATGGGAATAAATAAGTAATAAAAGGAATGCCATTAAAAAGTTTAAAAAAAAAAAAGGAGCGAGCGAAAGAGAAACAGTAAAAAAGATGTATCTTAGAAAACAGTAAACTGAGTATCCCGGGAGAGAGGTCGGTATCGCCCCAGTCACAAGCCTCGGTCCTGTCCATCCCCCCTCAAGGACCCTCCCAAACCAAATACCAACACTCACCCCCCCTTCAGACTGGGTGTTCTAAAAAAAAGGAGCCGATTAACCCAACAAGGAAAGAAGTTCTCCTTTAGGAAGAGCCAAAAATGTGGTTGAAACAAACCCAAGGTCACTGGTGCTTCAAGTTGGCTAAGGCTCCCTGATGTCAAGACTTTACAGCCAGGGCCCCTCTGGAGCAATGGAAAAGGGTGGGTGGTGGGGGAGAGGGGTGCCTCAGTTTGATGTGAGACCCACTGCCAAGGGCTTCTATGTATCCTCAAAGGTAGGAGGTGGGGAGGTCAAACTGGGGAAATGAGGTCAAACGAGGTGCCAGGGTGGTGGGTGGCATTTGCGTCGCCAAATTAAGTGCTGATGTGCACAAAAAATCATAACGCCACTGGCAGCCTCCCATGTTCTGTATACACTGCCTGAAACTATCTGGGGCCAACAGAGTTTAAGGACATTTTTTGCTCACCTGGATGGAAGGGTAGAGAGAGAGATCTCACATTGGGCAAAAGATTCAGCTAAACCCACACATTTTCAATTAGAAAGCACAAAGGGTATTTTCACCTAAAAGTAGCCTGCCAAGCAGGTCAGTGAAAAAGTCACCAAGAAGTTGCCACAACCCATTTTCCGGCTAAGAGACAGATGAAGGGGGATTCTGCAGCAAGAAGAAACAGGCTAGACTCAAGACACAACTTCCCAACCACAAGGGAATGAACACGCAGAAATTCATTCTAATCAGAGAATTTAAAAGCTGAAGGGAATGTCAGCTATCACACACTGGCAAGAAACAAAAATCCAACTTTTTTTTTTTGAGCCATGGTCTTGCTCTGTCATCTAGGCCCGATGGAGTGCAGTGGCATGATCTTGGCTCACAGCAGCCTCCAACACCCAGGCTCAAGCCATTCCCTGACCTCAGCCTCTCGAATAGCCAGGACTACAGGTGTGCACCATCACTCCAGCTAATTTTTGTATTTTTAGTAGAGATCAGGTTTTACCATGTTGGCCAGGCTGATCTTGAACTCCTGACCTCAAGTGATCCATCCGCCTTGGCCTCCCAAAGTGCTGGGATTACAGGCACAAGCCACCACGCCTGGCCACCAACTTTTCCTTTAAAATCACCAGGGCTCATGACAGCAGTATTCATAAGGGTCAGGAAATGGAAGTAACCCAAATGTCCATCAAGCAGTGAACAGATCAACACAGTGTGTGGTCTATCTGCACAATGGCATATTATTCTGCAATAAAAGGAAATGAAGCTACGACTCAGTTGAACCTTGAAAACATCACGCTAAATGTAAAAGCCGCCAGTCACAACATTCCACCTATTGTGATGCCATTTATATGAAATGTCCAGAATAAGCAAATCTAGAGACAGAAAGTAGATTAGTGGTTGCCTAGGGCTTGGGGGATGCTGGGGAAAATAGGCAGTCATAGCTGATGGATTGGGGTTTCCTTTCAGGGTAATTAAAAAAAGTTCTAACCTTGATTATGGTGATGGTTGGATTGTGTGATTTAAGTAGGTTAACTGTATGTTGTGTGAATTTTTGTTTTGTTTTGCTTTTTGGTTTTTTGGTTTTGGTTTTGTTTTTGAGACTAAGTCTTGCCCTGTCACCCAGGCTGGAGTGCAGTGCCACGATCTTGGCTCACTGCAGCCTCCGCCTCCCAGGTTCAAGCTATTCTCCTGCCTCAGCCTCCCTAGTAGCTGGGCCTATAGACGTGCACTACCATGCCAGGCTAATTTTTGTATTTTTAGTAGAGATAGGATTTCTCCATGCTGGCCAGGCTGGTCTTGAACTCCTGACCTCAGGTGATCCACCTGCGTCAGCCTCCTAAAGTGCTGGGATTACAGGCATGAGCCGCTGCGCCCAGCCTACGTGTGTAAATTATATTTCAAGAAAGCACTTATTAGAGACCACTAGGACCCCTGCAGAGAAGGAGCTCCCACCCCAGCCAGAGGATGAGAAACTCAGAGACCAACTTGAGAACTGACCCTGCCAGCAGATGCTGTGTATCCTGGGGCTGGTCACTTTGTCTCTCTGACATTCAGTGGCTTCCCAGGGCAGTTAGACCAAAACCCACCTGGAAGGCCCTGCAGGACCATCACTGTGCTGATCTCTTCTCCTGCCCCCATGTCCTGGCACACCATGGTCTGGCCACACCAGCCTTTCTGTTTGGTAAACAAACTGAGCTCCTGCTGGTCCTGAGGCCTTTGCACTTGCTGTTCCCTGTGCCCACAACACTGTTCCCAGATCTTCTCCCTGCTGGCTCCCTCCCACGCCGATGCAACCTCCCCAGAGGGTGTTTCCTCTATCCCCTGCCTGAATTGCCACAATGACACCCATCACTCCTCAGCCCATGGCACTGTCTTTTATTTTTTTTTTCCCCTCCATAGCACTTAATAGTATCTGAAACCTTTTTTTTTTTTTTTTTGGTAGAGCTGGGGTTTCAGTATGTTGGCCAGGCTGGTCTTGAACTCCTGGCCTCAAGTGATCCACCCACCTTGGCCTCCCGAAGTGCTGAGATTACAGGCGTGAGCCACTGCGCCTGGCAAATTTTTTGTATTTTTTGTAGAGATGAGGTTTCCCTATGCTATGGAGGATGGTCTCAAACTCCTGGGCTGGAGCGATCCTCTTGTCTCAGTCTCTCTAACTATTGGGATTACAAGTGTTGGGAACCACCACGTCTGGCCCTGCTAAACTGCTTTATGAGGGAGGGAAATGAAGCTCAGATGGATCTGAAGGGCAGGCCTGATGTCACACAGCTGGGGAGATGAGCGACTGGGGACTGAACCCAGACGTCACCAACCCAAGCCTGCCAGCTTAACTCCGTGCTTCACTTCACAACCGTCACATCTCTTGTGTCACATGTGTCCTCAGTTCCTCTCAGCCGTGAGAGCCAGGACTTTAATTATCATCGTTCCCATTTTTGCCATAAGGACCCTGAAACTCATCAGGCCCAAGGTCATGCTCCAGGAAGGCGCTAGATCCTGCCCTGAGGTCAGCTAAGCTGAAGCCTGGTGCTCCCATCCCCTGGCCGTAAAGCACGGAGACTCCCTCCCAATTCAGCACTGCAGGGACTAAGATGGTTTTCCAAGTTGGTACTTCAGGGGGCTCCATCCAGCTCCCACCCTCATACCCTGATGAGCCACCTTCCCCGGGTGGCTGGTGGCAACCTCAAAGAGGCCAGTGTGGCCCATCAAGGCGCCAGATACCCCGAGAGGGAGGAACCCTGAGGTTGCCCCTACCGTTGTCCTCTGGGTCCTGCTCCTGCTCTGCACTGGCATAGGTACGCAGGAACTCAGCGAAGGCGCCGTCTCGGGCCAGCAGCTCCTGGTAGGAGCCCATCTCAGAGATCTTGCCGCCGCTCATGACGATGATGACGTCCACCTGCGGCAAGTAGCTCATGCTATGCGTGACCAAGATCCGCGTCTGTGGGCAAAGGGGACACCCGGCCACATCAGTGCACACGTGCAAGACTGCCTGGCTTGGTAGAGTGAAGACTAAAGGAGGAATGAGCCAACAAACACCTGGCGGGCAGAACTCAGGTCTGCAGGTGGGACATGCACCTGCGATAACAGCATCCAGGAGCAGCTGAACCCGTGCACACCGTCCTTTAATGCGCATGTGCAAAGGGCCTGCCACGCCACAGGTGCTGAGCTAAAAGCTGGGGAGGTGGCAGGAAACAAAGACCGCTGCCGCAGATTCCAGGGCTGGAGGAGAAATGAACACTAGTAAAATAGTGCTTGCTGAATGGCGAAAATGCAGCAAAAAAGGGGAATGGGTGGACCAAGTGTGCAGGTTTTACAATTTTAACAAAGGCAATAGGGAAGGTTATTTTTTTAACAAAAACCTGAATGACAACAGATAGGGAGGGAACCATACAAGTGTGTTAAGGAATAAAAGGATGGTGCCGCTGCAAAACAGTTTGTATGCAATGGTTTAAATTTTTTTTTTTTTTTTTTTTTTTTTTTGAGACAGAGTTTCAGTTTGTTGCCCAGGCTGGAGTGCAGTGGCATGGTCTCGGCTCAATGCAACCTCCGCCTCCCGGGTTCAAGCAATTCCCATGCCTTAGCCTCCCACGTAGCTGGGATTACAGGCACCCACCATGACACCTGGCTGATTTGTTTTGCATTTTAGTAGAGATGGGGTTTCACCATGTTGCCCAGGCTGGTCTCAAATTCCTGAGCTCATGCAATCCACCCATCTCGGCCTCCCAAAGTGCTAGGATTATAGGCGCGAGCCACTGCACGCGGCCCAATGGCTTAATTCTTTTCTTCTTCTTTTTTTTTTTTGACATACGGTCTCTCTCTGTTACCCAGGCTGGAGTGCAGTGGTGCGATCTCAGCTCACTGCAACCTGTACTTCCTGGGTTCAAGCAATTCTCCTGCCTCAGCCTCCCAAGTATCTGGGACCACAGATAGGTGCCACCACGCCCAGCTAACTTTTGTATTTTTTGTCGAGACAGGGGTCTCATCGTGTTGCCCAGACTTATCTTGAACTGCTGAGCTCAAGCAATCCACCCGCCTTGGATTACAGGCATGAGCCACTGTGCCCGGCCCTGGCTTAATTTTTTTCTCAAACAACTCTCACTGTTAGCTACCCCCGAAACCACTACAAAGTATGCACATGAATACATTTGATCTGCAGATCTGAAAGTTTGGGAAGACATTCATCAAACTGTTAATAAAAGTTAGCATATGTTTCCTTAAACAGCGAACGGTCAATCTGTTCAGCTTTATGGATCTTACAGTTGCCACACCACCAACTCAGCTCTGCTGGGTTCCAGTAGCCGCAGATGACACTTAAAACAACAGGACACGTGTGGTGACTCAGACCTGTAATCCCAGCACTCTGGGAGGCCAAAACGGGAGGATCCCTTGAGGCCAAGAGTTTGAAACCAGCCTGGGAAACATAGTGAGATGTGTCTCCACAAAAAAATATAAAAATAAAAATCAATCAGCCAGCCACGGTGGTGCGTGCCTGTAGTCCCAGGAGCTACTCAGAAGGCAGAAGGGGATTGCTTCAGCCCAGGAGTTGGAGGCTGCCATGCCATGCTTGTGGCACTGCACGCCAGCCTGGACAACAGAGCAAAACTCTGTCTCCAGAAAAAAAAAAAAAAAAGAAAGAAAAGAAAAAAATACATTGGCCATGTTCCAATAAAGTTTTATTTATGGACACTGATATTTAAATTTAATACGATTTTCAAATGTCACAAAATATTCTTCCTGTTTAGATTTCTTCTATTTAAAAATACACACATCATTCTAGCTCAAGAGCCATACAAAAAGCAGGCGGTAGGCCAGATTTGCTAACCCTTGCTGTCTAAGAGAAGAATTAAAGATTAGGGATGCAGGATGAAGAGGGACTACTTTATTTACTTTATTTATATATATTTTCTGAGACGGGGTCTCACTCTGTTGCCCAGGCTAGAGTGCAGCGGCGCAATCTCAGATCACTGCAACCTCCACCTCCTGGGTTCAAGAGATTCTCCTGCCTCAGCTTCCCAAGTAGCTGGGATTACAGGCATGCACCACCATGCCTGGCTGATTTTTGTATTTTTAGTAGAGACGGGGTTTCACCATGTTGGCCAGGCTGGTCTCGAACTCCTGACCTCAGGTTATCCACTGGTCCAGGCCTCCAAAAGTGTTGGGATTACTCACTGTGCCCAGCTTTATTTACTTTATATACATACACACACACACACACACACACACACACACACACACACACACACACATATACATTGTAAGAATATATCCATATTCTTGTACTTTTCAATTTTGTTACCATGGGCATGTATTAGTAATTTTCAAAAATGTTTTTTACTACTTTAAAATGTGTTTGCACAGAATGTTAGTGGTATGCATGGGAATGCTTACAAGAGGTCACATAGCACGATGCTTCCTGTATATATATGTGTAATGAGATAACCCTATTTAGAAAGTTTATACACAGAGCAAAAAGACTTGAAAGAAATACAAATCTCTAACCAGTGGAATGTATGTAACTGCTTCCATCTTTCTTTTTCATGTTTTTCTTAATCTATATCCCACCCATGGGGATGAGTTAGTTTTAAAATCAGGGGAAACAGCTGGGCCTGGTGGCTCATGCCTGTAATCTCAGCACTTTGGGAGGCCGAAGCAGGTGGATCACTTGAGGTCAGGAGTTTGAGACCAGCCTGGTCAACATGGTAAAACCCCGACTCTACTAAAGATACAAAAAGTTAGCCAGGCGTGGTGGTGCACACCTGTAATTCCACCTACTAGGGAGGCCAAAGCAGGAGAATTGCTTGAACCCTGGAGGTGGAGGTTGCAGTGAGCCAAGATCAGGCCATTGCACTCCAGCCTGGGCAACAAGAACGAAACTCCCCCTCAAAAAAAATAAAAAAATAAAAAATAGTAAAATAAAATCAGGGGAAGAAAAAGAGCCAGTGTGCACCCATTACCACAACTGCCCTGTAAAAAGAACATAGCAACTATTTCCTATCATGTTAAGATGTTGTGGCAATTTTCCAACCCCTCCACCCACAGCCACCTCTGCAAGTAAGAAAACACATCCTGCTGGGTCACAGGCAGTGTCTTGGGGTGGGATTCCCGGCTGAGAAGCCAGCCCTGGGACTTAATCAGGAAGACGGGCCTCCCTTGGCCATGCAGAGGCAATGAATTTAACTCTGCGTGGAAGACTTACCCCTATAAAGACAACTACAAGACAGTTGCCTTAGGAAGGCTTCCAAGAGAAGCATGAGAAATGTGTTCTTTCAAGTCCAGTTAAACACAAAGAAAGCCAGAGAAAGTAAAGGACTCCTAAAGGGGACACGTTCTGACTTAACGAAAGGGCGAGACAGCCCGACGCCAAGCCGCGCCCCGCCAGCAGGCACCTTGTTCTTCAGCATCCCCTTGGGGCCAATCACATTTTCAAAGATATGTTTTCCCACGTGGGCATCCACTGCTGAGAGGGGATCATCGAAGAGGTAAATGTCAGCGTTGCAGTACACGGCCCGGGCCAGGCTCACGCGTTGCTTCTGGCCCCCAGACAGGTTCACGCCCTGGGGAGAGACATGGCACAAGAATGGGTTTCCTGGGAAACCTTGAGACTCAAGAAATGCAGAAGCAGGCTGAGCGTGGTGTGATCCCAGAACTTTGGGAGGCTGAGGCGGAAGGATTGCTTGAGGCCAGAGGTTTGAGACCAGCCTGAGCAACATAGGGAGACCCTGTCTCTACAAAAAAAAAAAAGAAAAAATTAGCCAAGCCTGGTGGTGTGCGCCTGTAGTTCCAGCTATTCAGGAGTCTGAGTGGGAAGATGGCTTGAGTCCAGGAGTTCGTGGCTGCAAGGAGCTATGGCTGGGCCACTGTACCCCAGCCTGGGCGACGGAATGAGACCCTGTCTCTTTAAAAAAGAAAGAAAAGCATAGAGCCTGCTCAGGACACAGCAGGCCCAGGATGGAGGCCCTGCAGAGCTGCACCCGCCGCCTCTTCTCTGAGTTTGAGGCTGAAGGCATGAGGTCATGCCGCCTGCACAAACCTGGAGCCAGGCCCCAGCTCCACCGCCACCAAGGATGGGATCACAGGCACAGGGTTTAGCCCCACCTGTAAACTGGGCAAAAGAGGAAACTTGAGTCTCCCGTGAGGTGCTGAGCAGGGCACTGGCACACAGCAAGCGCTCAGCGAAGGCTGGCTGATGGCACCAAATCATGTTGGCCAGTGGGAAGGCCCTGATTTCTTAGTCTCATGGAAGGCGCTGGTGGACATGGGCATATTAATGCTACTGCTGCTGTTGGTGACAGCTGCCGTGTTTGCCAGCTTACCCTGGATCTGTCACTGTCCGGCAAAGCCACATATAGGTGAAGCAAGGCTCCAGCCCGGGGACGCTGAAATCCAGCCCATGTCCCAGTCACCAGAAGGAAGGACAATGCATGGACCAACAGCAGCGCCAGCTCCCACCATGACAGATAAGCCAACGTCATTTCTCTCTTTGGCTGGAAATCACAGGTTACTGCCCAGCCCCTCCTGAGATGCCTGCCTGGCTCCCAGGCACTGAGGTGGGGCCCTGGCAGCCCTGGCAGCCAGCTGCCTTCTATTTGTTTTTTGAGACAGAAACTTGCTCTGTCGCCCAGGATGGAGTGCAGTGGCACCATCTCGGCTCACTGTAATCTCCACCTCCCAGGTTCAAACAATCCTCTCACCTTAGCCCTGAGTGGCTGGGACCACAGGCGCACAGCACCACGCCTGGCAACTTTTGTATTTGTTGTAGAGATGGGTTTTCACCATGTTGCCCAGGCTGGGCTCAAACTCCTGACCTCAGGCAATCCTCCCACCTTGGTCTCCCAAACTGCTGGGATTATAGGCGTGAGCTACCGTGCCCGGTCAATAATTTGTTTTTTATTTCCAAGGAGCTGCAGACTTACCTCAATTTTTAAACATCATTCACCAAGTAAGAAAGCCGACAGAGCCCCTGGCTTGTAACTAAAAACAGAAATGGGCCAGCATTTTGCACTCTTGGTCTTCCAAAAGGGGATACGCCAGACGACCACCATGGGGCGCGAGAGCAAAGTGGTCAGACAAGCAGCAGGGGAGGGCACCCCAGGCCTAGAAGGCTCAGACCAAGCTGTGGAGGTGGGCAAGAGCTGGGGATTGCTGAGGAACAGCAGGAAAACCTGGGGGCTGGAGCACAGGGGGAGGGAGAGTCTGCAGTGGTGAGAGGCACAGAGAATGGCCCTTTTAGAGATGACAAAATGAGCAGGTAAGAACATGAACCCAGGAACCATGCTCTCTGCAGTTCTGTGGCTGTGTGGCCTCAGGCAAGTCACTTGGCCTCTCTGTGCCTCCTTTTCCTCAATGATTACCTAGGTGTAACAACAAATTCTACCCATGGGTTTGCTGTGAGAGATAATTATGTGTAAAATGTTTAACACAGTTCCTGGCATATAGAAAATACTCAAGTTATAGGCCGGGCGAGGTGGCTAACATCTGTAATGCCAGTACTTTGAGGCAGAGGCGGGCAGATCACCTGAAGCCAGGAGTTCACGATCGGCATGGCCAACACAGTGAAATCTCACCTCTACTAAAAATACAGAAATTAGCCGGGCGTGGTGGCAGGGGCCTGTAGTCCCAGCTACTCAAGAGGCTGAGGCAGGAGAATCACTTGAACCCAGGAGGCGGAGGTTGCAGTGAGCCAAGACTGTGCCACTACACTCTAGCCTGGCCAACAAAGAGAGACTCCATCTCAAAAAAAAAAAAAAAAAAAAGAACTTTGAGAGGCCGAGGCTGGCAGATCACTTAAGGTCAGGAGTTGGAGACCAACCTGGCCAACAAGATGAAACTCCGCCTCTACTAAAAATACAAAAATTAGCCGAGTGTGGTGATGTGCACCTGTAACCCTAGCTACTCAGGAGGCTGAGGCAGGAGGATCACTTGAAGCTGGGAGGCAGAGGTTGCAATGAGCAGAGAGTACGCCACTGCACTCCAGCCTGGGCAACAGAGTGAGACTCCATCTCAAAAAAGAAAAGAAAACAAAGAAAAGAGAGAAAATGCTAAGTGTTAGCTATTGTGCTATTTTCAGTATTACGGCTGTCTTGACAGGGACTATGAACATCTGAATCATTGACCACTCCCCCCAACAGCATGCCCTCTGTCATGTGACTCTGCAGTCATGTGACCACAAAGGTAGACTGTACTTCCTTCCTGGTCCCTTCCTTCGAGCTTGGCCAAGTGACTTGCTTTGTGAGTGGAAAGGACAGTGTACTTTAAGGGACACTGTATGCTTTTTTGGGGGCCTATCTTGGGCCTCTGCTGCCACCATGAGAAGAGCCTCCCTCTGGAAAGCTGCTGAGCCCTCACCCCAGTCCCCAGCAAGCAGCTCTGTAAGGGAGACCTGAGCCACACCCACAGCCTGGACCCAAGCTCAGCTGGCCTGCAGAGTTCAGCAGAGCCACCCAGCTGAGCTCCAGCAGCCTGCAGAGTTCAGCAGAGCCACCCAGCTGAGCCCCGCCGGCCTGCAGAGTTCAGCAGAGCCACCCAGCTGAGCCCCGCCGGGTCAGCTGACTGCAGTAGACTCACAGACCACTGAGAGTGTGAGAGTGTTTGTTAGGCAGCAACAGCTGACTCATCCGGGGCCAACATCAAAACCATACTGACCTTCTCGCCAATCTCTGTCCGATCCCCGCTGGGCAGGATTTCCAGGTCTGGGAGGAGGGCACAGGCCTGTATCACGGACCTGTAATACGGTTCCTCCAGCTGACATCCAAAAAGGATGTTTTCTTGGAGAGAATCATTCTGAATCCAGGCCTGCTGCGGCACATAGGCCACCGAGCCCTAAGTGGCAAATGGAGAAGGAGGTGAGACAGACACACAGAGAGATCTGATCAACAAGACAGCAGCTGACCCAACCACCTGCTACGAGGGCCTCACTTCACAAGTCATTTTCATCACACCTATTGCTTTGGCAAGAGGGAAACTGAGTCACGAAGGACAACAGATGCCAGGGCTGGGAACAAAACCCATACCAGGTGAATCGCTAACTCCAACATCAGGAGTGAAAGAGCTGGTATCCTCGTTGATAAGATTACAGTTATTCATTTAGTAGCTAGCTATTAACTCAATACCTACAGCGGCGATCAAAACCCCCGCTTCCAAAGAGTGGAAACCCCTGACATGGCCAAAAGCTACTTGATTACAGTTATGGTGGATGCTAAAAGAAAAAGATATATGACAATTTTTAGAAGTCTGACTTGACTAGGCGCAGTGGCTCATGCCTGTAATCTCAGCACTTTGGGAGGCCAAGGCAGGCAAACTGCTTGAGGTCAGGAGTTCAAAGCCAGCCTGGGCAACACAGAGAAACTCCATTTCTTTAAAAAAAAAAAAAGAGAGAAAAACTAGCCAGGCAATGGTGCTGTGCATCTGTAGTCCCAGTTACTTGGGAGGCTGAGGTAGGAGGATCACCTGAGCCCAGGACATGGAGGTACCATGAGGTGAGACTGCACCGTGCCACTGCACTCCAGCTTGGACCACAGAGCAAGACTCTGTCTCAAAAAAATTAAAAATAAAAGACTGACCTAGTGTGGGACATCCGGGAAGGATCCTTGAGGAAACATCCTTGCTAAAAATTGAAGCAAAGACTCCTATATCAAAGCATCCGTTTCAAAGGTTTACTTTTATTTCCATATAATGTCAGATATCACAAATAGCATGAGAATAAAGGCTAGAGTAAGGATATTTGTTTTGTGTATTTTGCTAATGAAAATGCTGGGGTAGTTAAAAAAACATTCTATTATGTTTGTAGAAACAAAATCTCTCCATGTTGCTGAGCCTGGTCCCGAACTCCTGGCCTCAAGCAATCCTCCTGCCTCGGCCTCCGGAAGTGCTGGGATTATAGGCATGAGCCATCATGCCCGACTCAAACATATGTTTAGACAAGAACCAAAAAGTGAAGAATGAGTCCGTTTCATAAGGAGAAGAGCGAAGAGCATTCAAGTCCGAGGGAACAGGACATGCGAAGGCCTGGAGGTGAAAAGTACTTGGCACATTCAAGGAGCAGAAAGTCCAGTGTGACAGGAACATCGATCAATCCTATGAGGGAACGACTGGCAGAAAACACACCAGGGACAGCAAGGGGGCCTATTCATGGCGAGGAGCATGGGTTTTATTGGAAGGGCAACGGGCAGCCCCTGAAGATTCTTTTTTTTTTTTTTTTTGAAACGAAGCTTCGCTGTCGCCCAGGCTGGAATATAGTGGCAAGATCTCAGCTCACTGCAATCTCCGCCTCTGGGCTCAAGGGATTCTCCTTCCTCAGCCTCCTGAGTAGCTGGGACTAAAGGCACACACCACCAGGCCCGCTAATTTTTATATTTTTAGTAGAGATGGGGTTTTGCCATGCTGGTCAGGCTGGTCTCAAACTCCTGACCTCAGGTGATCAACTTGCTTCAGCCTCCCAAAGTGCTCGGATTACAGGTGTGAGCCACCACGCCCAGCCAGAAGATTCTTGAATAAGGGAATTCTAGAGAGGGCAAAGCTGACAGCGGGTCCCAGCTGCCCTCATTCTTACTCTAAATTCTCAAATAATTAACCTGCTGACTTGAATATCCTAACTTTTAAGAAGCCAAAATGTCAACAGAGGTGCCTTACCATAGAACCCATAGAAAAATACATAAACCCCACAGAATAAAACATTTGGGAAAAGATAAATATTTTATATACATTCCTAGCACTCCCCTTACTTGGGCAAAACAACCAATAATAAATAATCATCTGGCCTGAAATGATAATAGTGCCAGGATAGCAGAAACCTGGAGAAAGCAATGTGGATCCCACCAAGATTTGGAATTTTCTCCCATTATTCTAGCTCTCACAGCTCATTAATCTTATTTTATGGCATGGACTTGAAAGTAATGATAAAACATTTCTTAAAACAACAGTTAAAGGTCATTAGTTTGGACCCAATCACAATGTATACTTTTCAAAGGCATTGTATAATCAACGAAGAAAGGGTTTTGCTCGGAAATAAAAACAATGTCATAAACTAGGCCAGGAGCAGTGGCTCACGCCTATAATCCCAGCACTTTGGGAAGCCTAGATGGGCAGATCACCTGAGGTCAGGAGCCCTAGACTACCCAGGCCAACATGGTAAAACCCCATCTCTACTACAAGTACAAAAATTAGCTGGGCACGGTAACGGCACGTGCCTATAATCCCAGCTACTCAGGAGGCCGAGGCAGGAGAATCGGTTGAACCTAGGAGGCGGAGGTTGCAGCTAGCCAAGATCACACCACTGCATCAAGCCTGGGCAACTGTCTCAAAAAAACAAAAACGAAAACAAAAACAAAACAAAAAACCAGCACAACAACAAACATCATAAGCTTGACATTCCCAAAGGCAGATTCCAAGAGACAAATGTGCAGTTGCACAGACACTAAAGAGGTGCAGGCAAGTACACCTGGGACACATGAGGTTAAACAGTTAATAGATTTTTTTCTCACTGTAGGACTTGTCAGAGCCTTAATTTGCTAACGTTTATTATAAGAGGGAGGGGGTCGGAGTATTCATTATTTCCCATGCTCGTTTGAGTCTGGGATTCTTTCTCCCCTAAACGTCCTGCAAGGTGAGCTGGCTGCAGACCACACTCCTGGAAATGCTGGTAGCAAAACTTCCAGGGATGTATTGTTACACTAGGAAAAGGCCTTCATGCAGAGTTAACTAAATGCAAACTGAAGACTGTTGATTGCCAATGGGACTTACTGGTAAAGCCGCCTCTTAAGCTCACTCTTGGGGAATTTCAACTTACTTCAAAGTACACCGTGTATTTAAAAGCAGTAAAACTGCAGTCTTCTTTTAGCCCCCTATTAAGAATTCAATAAACACTAAAAATTTAAACTGTTCCCTTTAAAAAATGTTCTAAGAAAATATTCCAATCACATATTTTTGTTTTGTTACATTTATAAGAAGAGATACCCAGAGAGATCCATAAAGATAAAGAACAATCCAAAAAGACCCAAAGAGACCAACAGACACTCAGTGACAGGCAGAGACGCAAAGGAAGGAGGCAGGCCGCGCACCAGGGAGCCTTCATGTGTCTACTAAGTATTTATTAAGTGGCCGGGTGCAGTGGCTCACACCTGTAATCCCAGCACTTTGGGAGACAGAGGTGGGCAGATCATTTGAGGTCAGGAATTTGAGATCAGCCTGGCCAACATGATAAAACTCCGTCTCTACTAAAAAAAAAATATAAAAATTAGCTGGGCATGGTGGCGCATGCCTGTAATCCCAGCTACTCGGGAGGCTGAGGCAGGAGAATCGCTTGGACCCAGGAAGCAGAGGCTGCAGTGAGCCGAGATCGTGCCACTTCACTCCAGCCTGGGGGACGGAGCCTGACCCTGTCTCAAAAAAAAGTAATAAAAATAAAAATTAAAAAATTACAGCTTAATAAGTAGATAACAAAATAAATATTTATTAAGTGCCTACTACATACTGGGCACTATTTTAAGTGCTAGGAGACAGATGGAAATAAATGATACCAAAATCCTGCCTTCTAGGATGGCACAGAACAGAACAGAAAGAACACGACAGAAAGGGACAGACAGAAAGATAAAGGAGGAGGAGGAAAACAGACGTTGCTACTCTCACTTCCGGCACAGGGACAGTCAAAACAAACAGCATCATTTTTGAGCTTTTCCGCAGACCACCAGCTTCCCCACTCCCCCTGCCTGCTAGTCCTCATCCTACCTTGATAGCCACGTGCCCCTCCACTTTGTCCATCTCGGCCAAGAGAGCTGAGAGCAGCGACGATTTTCCGCAGCCCACCTGGCCCACCACGGCCACCAAGGCACCTTCCGGGATGGAGAAGGTGATGCTGAAACGACACAACACACCTGGCTCAGCCGCAATGAATGAGGCCTGCCGGGCTGATGCCCCTGGTCACTGAGCCTCGATTTACCCCAAGTAGAGAAAGAGAGAGACAGACAGAAGGCACGGCCATACTAAACACTGAAGGCCTCAACTGAACACTGCTGAGTTCAGTTCAGTGACCCGTCTCAGGGGCGCTCCAGGTGGGAGGCAGGTGACAGGTGTACCTTAGAGAAGAGAGGCACAGAGTAACCTGAGGGATCCCGTCACACTGAGCTGAAAGAGGGGCAGAAACTTCACTGGGGGCATGAGGCAAAGTCTGAGAGGAGAGGACACCTCAAGACAAACTGGGGCTGGGCACGGTGGCTCATGCCAGTGCTGGTAATCCCAGCAAGGCGGGCGGAGGGAGGCTGAGGCGGGCGGATCACAAGGTCAGGAGCTCGAAACCAGCCTGGCCAACATGGTGAAACCCCGTCTCTACTGATAACACAAAAATTAGCCATGCATGGTGGCAGGGGCCTGTGATCCCAGCTACTCAGGAGGCTGAGGCACAAGAATCGCTTGAACCCAAGAGGTGGAGGTTACAATGAGCCGAGATCGTGCCACTGCACTCCAGCCTGGGCAAGAGCGTGAGACTCTGTCTCAAAAAAAAAAAAAAAGAAAAAAAAAATCAAAACTCTGACAGAAAAGCAAGTGTGTCCAAGACACGGAAATACGGGGAGAGCTGGAGAAAGGTGTAAAGGAGTGAAGGCATGGGGTGTAACCAGGGATGCGATGGCACAAAGGTAGGTGGTAGCCAGACCTGGGAGCACCCTGAAAGATGCCCTGGAAGACGCTGTGCTAAGACACCTGAACTCTGCCAGCCAGGAGCCACCAAAGGGTTGAAAAGGGAGACAGACATGAATAAATCTGAGTTGAACTTTGGGAAGATGTTTCTATTGAAATCATCCTTTAACGAACAGTAGAAAGCAAAATAAAACAAGCTCAACATTCTCCCAGCAACAGTGGCTGTCAAT